AGAATTCAAATTTATCAATACATACTCCTGATAGAATAATACCAGATCCAAAATAACAATATACAGCATGTACATCATCAAATGGTTGTCCCATATAAAGATCTTGACTAATACTAATATGATTTAAAAATTCATTTAACTATAATAATAGAAATTATTATTCCAATTAAATATCTTCTATTGAACTTACTTTAAAACCTCGTATATATGTATTATCAGGAACAAGTACAAACCAATCATATGATTTAATCATTTTTTCAGCAAGATATTTTAATATATAAAATGGTTTTAGATAAGCTCGTTTATCATGTATTGCAACAACTTCCATACTTTTAGGAAAATCTTGTACATCTTCATCAATAAAAAATAATAAACGATTAACATAATTTTGTAATGTTTGATTGAGAAAAAACGCAAATGTATTTAAATGATTGGTTTCAGTTATAACAGCAACAAGAACTTTTTCACGTATACCTAATTCATCAGCTATATAACGTGGTCGTGTAACTTTCGGTGTATTTGATGATTGTGTTGTTGTTGATAAAGATTGATTATTGAGATTTTTTTCCATTGATGGTTGAACTATTCGTGGTTCATAATCTTTACTACCATAATCAACGAGTGTAACATCAGCAACTGAACGTGCATGTCGATTTAATATTCGATCAATTGTATCACGTAATGAAAATGTTTCATTTGAAAGTTGATTATTTAATGAAGAAGAAAATGGTTCAGAAAAAAGTAATAATGGATTATCACAAACACTTATCATTGGTAAACATGCTAAACTTAATGTAAAACCAAGTGATAAACCAACAAGTATCGATAGTATATAACGAGATTTAAGTCGACTACGATGAAATAAAAGTGATATTAATGAAAATTTATAACGCATTAATCTAGCCAGTTTTGAACGTATCGTTGAAAAATATTTGCAAAGATGTATACCACCGGTTTTAGTTGATAAATGACGATTAGTGTTCAAATGAACTAGAAAAGAAAAGTTCATCTAAGATATCATTAGACATGTTCAATTTGAGAACTGATGTTGATCAATATGTAAAAATAACTTCATAATATTTTCTTCACTTATATTAAGTCAATTCAAACAAGTGTTTGAATAATTATAATCACAAAAATAAGAAATGCAATAAACGTAATTTTCTTTTTTTATTCTAATGTTTTTATTTAACAGAAAAAAAAAGGTTCGTTTACCTCACCTTATAATCGTTTGCAGTCATCTTTTAATATAAAAGCATGATTTTATTCATATTTTCGTTTCGTTTCTTTTCTCTTCCCTTCTGTACTCTATTTACATCTTCTACAATTATCAAGAATGGGATTGAAGGTAGAACGAGAACTGAAAGAAGCAGAAGGAGAAGGAGAAAAAACGTATTTTATTATTTTGTTTGCCATACGGCTGTTCTTCGCAGCTGTACCATCATAAGGACGGATTCATTCTTTATGTATGAATATCGTATACATATACGTATATACAGAAGGGTAACAGAACAACGAGCGAGGAGAAGAAAAAAAGGTCTTTATTCATCATAATTACATATACAAGTAAATTCTTATTGTTTCCGACTATTCACACAGTAGTATTCGTTGATAGTTATGTTTAATTACAAGAAACATCTGGCTTTTGTAAACAGAAGAATAATAAATATCTCAGAAAGACAAATGATCATGTATAATATTAGTTATGTAAATATCAGTAATTGATTAGATATTTTTTTAAAGAATATTTCATTTAAATCAAATAAATATAAAATTATTCTATGTTGTTTACCTGCTCGTCGATGTTTTCTTCCATAACGGACCATTGTTTTCAAAATCGAGTTTTATTTTAAAAATATTATTCAATTTTTATCTAAAAATGAACTATACCATAATATAAACCAAGTAACCTCCTACACCTAGAAAACAGAAAATAGTACCAATTTTAACAATGCAGAAAAAGCTTCTACCTTGATATAAATGAATATACAGTTATTATAGATTTTCATTTTATTCTTCACGCGTAAATTAAATATAGTAATCAACAGGAGGTTAAGTACATATATAAGAAAAAAAGAACATATAGAGTGACGATAAATATGCATGTTTTTTTCAAATGTGAGAGAAATATATTGGCAAATAAATAAAATGTTCTTATTCACATCGAATAACACGAATGAATATAAATTAGTCTATTATGTATAATTAAGTATTCGCAAGCAAAAGAAAAAGCGAAGAAGTTACATAGAAATTATACAATCGTATATAGACTTATTGTTTCTTTATGTGCAAGCATATGAGATAATCTATATTAATTGTAGAATATTTTTTTTGAAAATAACATTGTTGAAAGAGAAGCTTCAATAAAATTCAAGAAACTTGTTCAGTTCAGTAGGATATTGTACTTATCTCTGCACTTCAATATTCAATGATTATAAAAGAGTGTTTTTACGATATATGATGTAATTTTATTTGTTTGATAGTTTTGTATTGCTTGATAACATACGTTACCTTTTAGTTATTTGATAATAACAATATATATTGAATTAGATTATAAATGGAATCATTGTCCTTAAATATAATTGATTAGAAATAAATCTTACCGAAAATATAATTATCAACAACTTCAGTATCATTGATGAATAAATGATAAGTTGTACAATGACTTATAAAACTGACAAAAAAACACAGATCGTATGATATAAATAAGATTGTAGACGATGTATATGTAGGATAATTATGACTGTCTTTTTTGTATAATTACATATTCGTTTCGAATGATGAAAAATATTTTTACACTATCCAAACAGATTATTATAGACTTGAAAGAGATTTGATATATGATAAAATACGTTTTATTTTTACAAAAACATGAAACTTATGGAATTGATATTATTAAATAAACTGAATTTAAAAAATCGCGGAGGTTGTAGATGAATATCTGATTTAATTAATCATCTAACAAATTTGATATATTAGATTTCAAACTCTCATACAGAATGTTGTTTAATAATATCGAATAAAATTCTATTTTTGAAACAAAGTTTGAAGTCTTTCTCATTGATTCAAAAGAAAATTTATGATTTTGATAAAAATTAATCTATTATATTATTGTATATAATCACAAGTTATTTTAACAATCTAATTCGAATAACCATCAGAGATTGGATGAGTACAAGTACTTTTTACTTAACAAGTGTACTTTGTACTTGTACTCTAGCACGCGTACTAAGTTCGAAAATACTTATTAGAGTCTACTTAAGTACATCTTCGTATCTAGTTTCGATAAATATTCGCCCTGTTACTGAACTGCTAGAACCTATGTTTTTGTAACGGATAATAAATTTAAAAAGCTAAAATAATTAAGTCAGACAAAAACGAATCGTTTTAAACTAAGTACTCAATCAGCAATAACCAACAGCAGCAGTGGCGACCGAGGAGAAAAAAATCTGAACGTTAAGAAGAGAAATAGAGATATTCAGCACGAATGATTCATACTATAATAATACTATTAAAAAATCATATTATTTTACAAAAATCAAAATATTAAGAAAACTAATTCAATCAATACAAACTGTGCTTCTCTTTTATATAAACTATAAACATTGTTTAATTGAAAATTCATTCTATCAATGGAAGGCAATCATACTACCGACACCGCTTCGTCGAATGATTGTTTTGTTGACAGATAGGTACACTGTGTCAATAAAAAAATTGAAAATAAAAAAGTTAAAATTTGTCGAGAGTATAGCGTCAAAAAAGTCTTTTTAAAATTCGGCTATGTTATGGTTCGATTCATTGTTATGTTCTTTTTCTTTCTTCTTATTGAGGGTGGGTGTGAATGAGTAGTTATTCGAATTTATTCACACCCACATCCACCCTTAAGGATCTGCACTTCCAAGAACCCGAAATAAAGTCGAAGCTTGACATAGACGCTAGGAAAAATTAATTATTAGATCTCATGTTGATATATTTACGATAATTAAACAAATTCAAAAACAAATATATGTAGTGGATATGGGGATTGAAAGATGGATTTGTGGTGAACCACCATCTCTAAAGAAGCGCAAAGATCGCGGAGCGAGAGAAATCAGAATTCAAAATGTTATTGCTGATCGTGGTAACAGATTAACTATCGATTTTATTCGGAGCATTGCTTATAATCTTTCATTATAAATATATATAATTGTTACTAAAAGTATTTTAAAAACTTTTGAAGAGAAAAGATTTTGTAAAAAGTAATAAAAATTAGATTATATTTCGTAATTATCCGTACTAATTGTCTTTTTTTATCCATATATTTGCCCTGTCTCTCTCAGAGAAAATAGCTGAGACCACTTTTTGTGTTGTATCCTGGAATCTACTAGATTTAGAGGACTAAGATATGAAAAAACGATGGTGGCACTAGAAGTTATCACTAAATTGTAACTGTTGGCAAAATGTACCAAACCCTATATGTACATCGTTTTTAAATTGAATCATTTATTACTTCATCGTAAATGTGAAGCAAAATAGAAAATAACCTTTAACATCTTATAAACGAAATAAAGATAGTACACCTTTTTGAAATTCTCTTATTATCTAAGAAATATTTTATTTTATTTAAGTTTGTTTGATAACATAGAACATTTTACAATATTAAATATTCTTACCAACTGTTCTCTTATAACCACTGATTCTAACAATATTCCTGTAAACTATCTTCGAAAAACTACCACATTTTGATAAAATAATATATTATCAATTGTATTATTTTTCAGTACAATTAAAACGATGTTTCATTATTATTCTAAAAATAAAGTACCCGCAACAGTTAAAAGAAAAGAAAAGAAAAGATTAAAAAGACAAATTTTGATGTACTTTTTTCAAAGTCACGTGTAAAATACACAATGATAAATAGAATTCAATCTCGAGTACTTACTTTTATGGATCAAGAAAAATTCAGGTAGATAACAAACATGTTGTAGTTTATTTTAGTTAACGTAAAATATACATAAAACATGGGTTCGGTAGTGAATAAACAACGTACGGATGATAGTTTAGAATTAACAAATTTAGTTAAAACAATAAGAACAAAATCAATACTTGAAAATCAAGATGATTTTGAAGAATGTGTTTTAATTTGGCTTGATTCAAGTATTAAATATAATGCTCATTGGGCAGATGAATTAAATCATGCACGAGAAATAATTAATAATTTAAAAATATTCGATCAACTTAATGATTGTATTAACTTCATGAAAATGATTGTTTATGATAAAATTTTTCTTATCGTATCACAGTAAGATTTAATTATTTGTATTAATAATATAGTGAGATTTTCTTATATATATACATAGTCAATATATTCAATCCATTTGTGCAATTAAATCTGAACTTCGTCATTTAACATCGATTTATGTTTATTGTGATGAAAGTTTATCTTCAATAAAACGAACATCATTAGAAACTTGGGCTCGAGATAATGAACCATTAATAACAGGTGTTTATTCCAATTCAACAGATTGTTTTGCACAATTATCAAAAGATGTTTATGATATATGTGATCATGATTCAATTCCTGTAACATATTTAAGTCCACAGATAAAGAATCAAAATTTAAAACAATCAAGTTCATTTCTGATATTTCATTTTTTCCTTCAAAATATCCTCTCTAATTTATTATCACCTATAAATAAAGAACAACGACATCGTATATTTCGTTCTTGTCTTTATTATTATCGTGACAATGATAAACGTATAGAAGAAATTAAACATTTTGAACAACATTATAATTCTCAATCATCTATTGATTTATACTTACGAACAAAATTTTTTTCACGTCTTTTACATAAAGCTAGTCAAACAGCTAATTTTGCACTTTTATTCGATTATAGTTTTATCCTGAATGACATACAAAACATTATACAAGAAAAATCTATTACATTAACAAATATATATTATCGTGCACAAAATTTAAATGCTGATGATTTATATCGTTTACGTATAAATTTAAATGGTATCATATCAATCAATACTTATCTTGATCTTTGCAAAACTGCTGAAGCTGCTGTTAATGAAGTTTCATTAATATCAAATACACTTGAAACTGTTTTATATCATTTTTCAATAAATCAATCATATATATCTATATCTGATAATAAAGTTCTTCTATCAATTGGTAGTTTATTTCGTATTGAACATATCGGAATGGAAATGGATGGTGTATGGCATGTACATTTAAAAATGTTAACAAAAGATGATATCAATGATCAAATTGAAATAATAATGAAAGAAATTGATTTTCTTCCACATAAATATTTATCGATTGGTCTTATTTGGGATAAAATAAAACAATCGGGTAAAGCTGATCGATTTTATCGTTTACTTATTGAACATTTATCAAAAACAAATAGAGAAACAGCACTTATTTGTAATTATATTGGAACTATAATTCGTTTAAAATGTCAATATCCAACAGCATTAACTTATCATAAACAAGCATTAACAATTTATAAAGAAGGAAATCAATTAAATTCTTCATTGAATGAAGATATTGATCGTACATATGCACAAATAGCATTAGTCTATAGAGACATGGGTGATACCTTACATGCTATTGAATATTTTAAATTAATATCGAAACAAGGTGAAGAAGAAATTTTAAATCAACTTGGAGAAATTTATCGAAATCTAGAAAAATTTCATATTGCTCATCAATATTATCAACAAACAAAATCATATAATAATATTGGACTTTGTTATATTAATCAACGAATGTTTCCAGAAGCATTATCTTATTTAAAAAAAGAACCAAATTCAATTTCTAATATAAATCTAGGTGTTTATCATCAATTACGAAAAGAATATAGTACAGCATTAATATTTTTTGAAAAAGCATTAGAAACTATAAAAGATCGTCCATTAGATATAGCAATGATACATTCTTATCTTGGTCTATTACATTGTGATAGTCGACAATGGTTACTATCATTAAAACATTATGAACAAGCACTTGCTCTATATAAACGTCATTTAATAAATAATCATCCAACTATTGCACTTATTCATGATGGTCTTGGAACATTATATTTAACGAAAGGTGAATTTCGAGCAGCACAACGTGAATATGAACGTTGTTTAGAATTACAATTACGTGTATTACCAGCAAATCATCCAGATGTTGCTGGAACATATAATAATTTAGGTGGTGTTTTTAATGAATTAGGTCAATATGAACAAGCATTATTATATCATTTAGAAGCACTTGCAATTGCTACAGCAACATTACCAAATGAGCATTCTGATATAAAATTATACCAACATAATATTATAGAAACAAAACGAAAACTTTCTCAAAGTTAAATATATATATTTCTAATATTCTATTTATTTATTAATATCATAAAGCAAAGGATATCACTTTATTTTGATTGATAATTTTATCAAAAGTATTGTAATTGAAATTTATCTTAGTTTAATAATTAATCTATACATTGTACATATAATTAGAATAGCAAAACATATTCTGATACTATGGAATAGAACAATTGAAGTTATTCTTGACATTTTATGATAAAATATTAGTTGTATGCTTATCAACATTCTATTTATCAGTACCTAAGATAATATAAAAAAAGATTTCTTTTTGTTCTATTGTCATACCAAAGGAAGGATATTAAAATTTATTTAAAAAAAAAAGAAATAATGATGTATGCTATTGTGATTGCACAAAATTCTTAATTAAAAGGATAAATAAAATCAAATTAAAAAGAAAAAAGACAAAAGAAAAGGTAATGATGTTGTATCATCATTAAATGAGGACAAAAGGATAGAGTGGTTGTCGTGCAATTCTAGTAGTAGAAAACGAAGAAGGTTGTTTGAAGAAAAAAAAGAAAAAAAAACATTTGAAACTTTTTTCATAGATATATATATTCGATTGATTAACTTCTTCAGTAATTCTACCCATTTAGAAACATTTACGATGAACAATTGATGGACCAGCTTCATCATATTCTTGTTTTGAAATCCACATTTGTTGAAATGTAGATAATGAAGCCAAAATTGAACCACCAATCCATACTGAATATTTACGTTCAGGTGGTGCAATAATTTTGATTTTCATTGTTGATGGAGCTAAAGCTGTTATTTCTTTTTGCATACGATCAGCAATACCGGGGTACATTGAAGTACCTTAATTAAACAAATTTTAAAAAACTAGAAAAAATAAAGCTTTAATTTTACCTCCTGATAAAACTGTATTAGCATATAAATCTTTACGAATATCAATATCGCATTTCATGATTGAGTTAAATGTTGTTTCGTGAATACCAGCAACTTCCATACCCTATAATAATAATATTTATTAGTTAGTGTTTCTTTTGAAAAATATATTTACCAAAAATGATGGTTGAAAGAGTGATTCTGGGCAACGGAAACGTTCATTACCAATGGTAATAACTTGACCATCAGGTAATTCATAACTTTTTTCGAGTGATGATGTTGATGCAGCTGTAGCCATTTCTTGTTCGAAATCTAATGCAACATAACATAATTTTTCTTTGATATCTCGGACAATTTCACGTTCAGCAGTTGTTACAAATGAATAACCACGTTCAGTAAGAATTTTCATTAAATAATCAGTTAAATCTCGTCCAGCCAAATCAAGACGAAGAATAGCATGTGGTAAAGCATAACCTTCATAGATGGGAACATCATGTGTAACACCATCGCCTGAATCAAGAACAATACCAGTTGTACGACCACTAGCATAGAGTGAGAGTACAGCTTGAATTGCAACATACATAGCTGGTGAATTAAATGTTTCAAACATAATTTGTGTCATTTTTTCACGATTAGCTTTTGGATTAAGTGGAGCTTCAGTGAGAAGAACAGGGTGTTCTTCTGGTGCAACACGAAGTTCATTGTAGAAAGTATGATGCCAGATTTTTTCAATATCATCCCAATTGGTAATAATACCGTGTTCAATTGGATATTTAAGTGTTAAAATACCACGTTTTGATTGAGCTTCATCACCAACATAGGAATCTTTTTGACCCATACCAACCATAACAGCTTGATGACGTGGTCGACCAACGACTGATGGAAATACTGATCGAGGAGCATCATCACCAGCAAAGCCAGCTTTGCACATACCTATTTAAGCAATATAATAATCATTTTTAACTTTTTGTTCTTTATTTTTCTTTTTCTCAAAAATATTTTTACCTGATCCATTATCAATTACAATAGCGGCAACGTCTTCGTCACACATGATTTTTTTTAAAGCAACGAGTTAGATGATAAATAATATGTATGTGTATATGTCTCCTCTTCAAAGATTGTCCGTAAAAAGAACGACAACCGCAATATCTTCTTAGCTATATACACAGAATATACCAAAATAGTCTTTTCTTTTCTGTTTTCCTCTTCGCTTTTTGCTTTTTTCCTTAGATATATACATCAGTCAATACCAAATCGGGTAACATATATTGTTATGACAACGGACGACCGAAAGAAGAAAAAAAAATGCAGATAGATGATAACCGCTTCCTGCTTCTTTATTATATATACATATATATATATTTGTACCACTAGTATCCCAGATATTTTCAGACGTATAAAGAGTAACATATGGAGTAGAGACGATATACATATATTGATCGCATTCTTCATTTGAGAAAATAATACCACTGTTCGCCGTTCCTTTTATCAATATTAACCAACGATAAGAAGAAAAAAGAAAAGAAAAGAAGAATTATCATCATCTTCGAATAACCGAAGCTACATAGAAGAAAAAGCAATAATATCCAAGAAAAGAAATAACAATGTTGAAGGATAAGAATATCAGATTTATTTCTAATCTAAGTCCTATTCATTAATTTATAGTTTTAAACACAATTGTAATTTATTGAAATAAATGAAAAATAAATGTATTTATAAATTCAATACAATAGAATACTCCTTAAACGAGCTTCAAAACATATTTTTTAGTCATTGAATTACAAGGCTGAGTTACTTGTTGCATAGAGAAAGAAAAAGAAAAGAGGAGAAAAAAAACGAACGAAAAATATATATATATATATATATTTATATGATCGATCGAAAAGTGTGCGTATACATTTATAAATTCGTAAACACATTGTGACCCCAGTCAGTACGTTCTTAAATAAAATAAACAAGCTTGTATTCTTACCACAAATAGTAAGTAGAAATTTTACGTACTTTTAAATAAACTAAATTTGATTTTCTTTTGCAAGACAATGACTAGTAATAAATCAGCTGTAACTGGTGGTTTATCTGAAAAAAGTGTTCTTTCAGCTACAATAATAAATAAAACACCAGATACAATACATTGTTTCGTTGAATATCAAACAGTATCAGGTACAGATAATGAAGTTATTGAATTTGATATAGATGGTAATGGTGATGAAGAAAAATGTGAAGAAAAAGTACATACAACATCAACAAATACACATGATTCTTCATCTTCAAATGTTTTTCCTAAAGTCATCTATTCAATACGAGCTACAAAATCAGATGGTTCAAAATTAAAAATTATGGCACCATTTGATAATGTTCCTCATGGTAATGCACATAATTGGAAATTTATTGTTGATAATGATAAAATTCATTCTGAAAAAAATTAAATTTCATCTTTAAATACTATTCTGTTTTCTTTTTTGTTGTTTACAAAAAAATATTCTAATAAATATTAAAATAAACTTAGTTACTTAAATGTAAAATGAATACATAAAGAAATTTTTTTATTTTAATGTTACTATAATAGAAATAATAATTTTTCTTTTTCGAATCCAATGTTACTTATACAACAACAATCATCATCATTTCGTGTTTGGACAAGTCGAGCACTAATGATATATTTTCGTCGTGCATTACTTTTTCTTGTTATTAGTTCTCGTCAAAATTCAAATAATAAGATTCATTTATTAGAACAAGAAACAGTTAATTTTAATGATGCTGAAGATGAAGAAGATATATTAATGATAACGGATGAAAGTAAATCATCACTTGAGAGATATGAAATAGAAAAAAATTCATTGAATAAATATACAATCGATAAACTTTTTCAAGGATTAAATAATTCAATGATAAACTCAACAATAGATATATCATTACAATCACAAATTACCGAACAATTTGAACCTTTTACTGAAAGTTTAACTCAAGATTCGACTATTGAAATTAATGAAAATAAAGTATCACATGATTTTATCTATCAAAAACAGCAGGTGCCTATCGAATATCATAATCAAATTCGTACTTTTCAATCCTGCGATCGACACTCTAACTTTACAAATCATATATCATCCTATCCAATACATTTAACTGATGAAAACAAGACATTTAAGTTTGGTTCACCTTGTCTACCGTCATTTTTTGAATGTTATTCGTCTGATGATGAAATGTCATCATTATCAAATTCTATTCAACAAAATATATCTCATTCATCCAATAATGATGATAATAATAATGATTTACTTATAACTAGCAATATACGCGTTCGTTTAATTGCTAATCAGCGTGATATCGAATCAACATTGATTCATAATATCCAACAGAAAAAATCACATATGGAATTTTCTTCAATAACTTTAAATAAAAAATTTCTCAAAACATCAATATTGTAAGCAATTATATCTTTTTCTTCCATTCATTCGAACATCTTTTCTTTTAGAATCGATTTACCATATAAAATACTTTATATTAACCCATAAAAATTATCAAATAATTTATTTTTGCTATTATTTAAAAAAAATACTATTTAGTTTGAATAAAACTACGATTAAGTCGTAAATGTGATTGAACAAGTTCATTAGTTGCTAATGCGCTCAATAATGATAATTCACCGGCCAATACTGTTGAACATATAAGACGAGCAAGTTGACAAGAATTTTCACCAGGTGCATTCGACAAAGAACCATTAACGTCAAGCATTTTTAAGCAAGCTTGTTGAGCTGCTAATTTTGTTCCACCACCTATTGTTCCAACTTCAAGTGAATACATAGTACATGATATATACAAATCATTTTTCTCAGGTCCTGTTGTTTCAAGCCATGTTAAACCTATAAAAAACGTTTTTGAATGAATTTTTGTTTTTTGTTGAATAAATATTATAAAATATTTACAATTACTACTTGAAACAACTTGTGCTGGATCTTGACCACAAGCAATAAACATAGCCTAAAGAAAAAGCATATTTAGATATTGATAATAATAACTATCATAAAAATATTTACAGCAACTATATTGGCAGCATGAGCATTAAATCCTCCAATTGAACCAGCCATAATTGATCCAAGCATATTTTTTGATTGATTTAATTCAACAAGTTGATTAGCATTTGTTTTAAGTACTTGATGAAGTATATCACCGGGTATGATCGCTTCTGCTACAACTGATTTTCCTCGTCCATCAATCCAATTTAATGCTGATGGTTTTTTATCTTTAATTAATAGAAAATAAAAATAGATATTTTCTACTTATTTAACTAACCAGTGCAATAATTTCCACTAACACTAATAATATCAACTGTTTGAGGCCATGTAGATTTAACAAGTTTTAATACAGCTTCAACACCTTTTGATAACATATTCATACCCATAGCATCACCAGTTGTTGCAACAAAACGAACGAATAAATAATGTGCTGCTAAATTTCGTTTAATACTTGTTAAACGTGCATATGAACTTGTTCCATCAAAACATTTTTTTATTTCTTCAAAATTTGTTTCAAACCATTCATAAGCATCATATGCTTGTCGAATGGTGGCAAATTTAAGCACAGGACCACGTGTCATACCATCATTGAAAATAATTGTTTCAATACCACCTTTTGACATTGATACAGCTTTACACCCGCGATTTGTACTTGCAACAAGTGCACCTACAAAAAAATAGCTACTTTTTCCTTTCGTTTGTATATCCAATTCAAATAAACAAACAATAAGAGTGACTAATTAACAACATCTCCTTTGATAGAAACCACTGAGATCAGTCAACCTTATCAAATATTGTTTTTACTACTTAAACCTGAGTACTTGATTAGGTTGACATCGAGAAGTTGATAAATAGTAAAGGAAAATAATCTTTTTACCTTCTGTAGTTGCCATTGGTATATAAAAATTTCGATTATCAACACGTAAGGGACCCGCATATCCAACAGGTATTTGAACATAACCGATGACATTTTCACAACAATGATTGATAACCAATGAATAATCATAATTATCATAAGGTAATAAATCAAGTGAAAATGAAGAGTTTTGTGTTGAAACTAATAACTCATTTAATAATAAACGACGTATATGTACAGCTTTTAATAATGGTAAATTTTTCTCAAGATTATGTGCAGCTAGTTTTTTTGATTTAACCAAGGATAATATTTCTTCATCAGTTAAAAGAGAATAATCAATATTTTCTGTTGTATCGGGTATTTTAGATTCCATTATTTTTGGTGTTAACGGAACTACAAGATTTGGTGTAGTTGCCGTTTTTTGATCAGTCAAATCATTAGTTTCAGTTGAAGAACAATCTAAAATTAAAATATTTATAAAAAAAAATAATATATATAAATCTTTTTACTATCAATTGTAAAAATAACCGGATTTTTTGGTATTGAAGATTGTTTATTAACGATTAATACCTCATTTTTATTTTCATCTGGTGTTTTTCCTATAAATATATCAAATATTCGAGTATATTTCGATGTTTCACGTCCAGGTGGAACCATAGCAAGACATGTTAAACAAATTATAGCGGTTGATATTAATGCTAATGTTTCATAAAATGACCAAGCTGAAGTTTTTAAACTAAATAATGCCAGACCTAATATTTTGATAATTTTTAAACGATGTAAAATAGAATTCAATTCATCACTATTTTTTGTTAAAAAGATTTGTTGAGAATTTTCCTTGTTGAATGTTGTTTTATCAATAAAATATGAATAAAGAAAACAAAGTACACTTGGAAAAACAGCTATTTGTGATAACCAACTTGCAACTATACATATACTTGCCATATCACTTAATGCAATAATCGATGGAACATCAGTTAAACGACCTACACGAGTAAGTAATAGAGCAAAAACATGATCAACACAAATATGACGAAGCCAACGACGTAAAACAAAATTTGATGATTCTTGTTGTTGTTGACGATTGATTGAATTTAAAGGAATAAGTATTGAAGCTAATGCTACAGATTGTGTTGCATTCCATAATAGTGATGATATTGATAATAAAACTATTATATGAATTATTGTTGAAGAAAACCCATTTGTTACATTTAAATTCGAGAAATTTAATAATGAATTTGATTGAAATATATAAAAAAATGCTTCACAACTAAGACATGTGCATAAAAATGAAATAAACACTAAATGACGTTGTTTATATAATCGTATTGAATACGTTTGAAATATGAAATAAACTATTGACGTTAAAGCTATTGTATAAAATGTTGAATCATAAAAACGAACAGTGGTTGTCATTGTTACTATATTATTATTGATTGTTGTCAATAATATGAGCAGAAAAACAGGTATATAGATATATAGCAATAAACGTCTCCATATTTATAGGCAATATTAAGAAGGCTATAAATGTACTCAATAATCTGGACGGGATGAATAAAACAGCGAAAATAAATCAATGCACTGAATACTTTATTATTACTCAGATTTCAGCGAATACAAGAAAAAAAGTGCATAATATTTTTAGATTTAGCTTGTTTTTTTTTGCGTTTGATATTTTCTTATGTATTTTCGCTTAAAGACATAATATCATTCGTCGTGCGAATGTATGATGCAAGCTTACTGTATTAAGACCTGGATGACGTCCGTTTATTATAAGCTAATGATATATAATCACGATTACCTGCGTCATAGTTCAAAGTGTATTATATTGAAAATAATTTTTTCTATGATAAATGGTGCTTATTCTAATAAGTAAATTACCATGAATAAGTTATTCTTCTTCTTTCAATATTTCAATTAAAACCAACATTAATTTCAAAATACCTTTGACGTACATGCTACGTATTGATAAGTGCAAAAAGAGTCATACTAAACATGTGATATTTATATTATGATTGTCTACAAAACCTTCATTGTGAAGTCGTTGATCTGAATTTAGTATAATCTTTTTAAAAGACTCAATGAACTATTAAATTGATCGTTATAATGATCAAGGTTCAGTATATTTTGAGTATTGCTTTGGCAGAAAGACTTAATTGTTTAGTCGAAAAAAATACTAATATTAAAAGCTTGGCTTTACATAAGTATCAATATCTGGACTAAAATAGATACAAAACATAGAAAATCTTCGTTGAAAGTCGTTTTCGAACAAGAATAAATAGAAAGAAAATTAAGATTTATACTGTGGTTTTGACTAAACGGCGACGTCTTCAGAATTTGATTGGTTAGATAAATATCCATTAAAAACATTAGTGTTCTGTTCTTGAATCGTGTCGTGTCATTTTTCTTTACTAAATATTATATTTTAAATAGTTTTAATGGTAAATTCTATAATTTTTTAGTTATTGTTCATATCATAACATAAAATACTTTGTTTAGGATGATTTTTCAAAATTTTTTGATGATGAATTTAATGTTATCGACTGGCTTAATCAAGCATTTCGATTACAAAAAGAAACAAACCAAAATGTGGATAACTATACAGGAGTATTGATAACAAAATTACAAATGTATGTTCAAGAAATGAATAATTCCATTGAAGAAACAAGTCAACAAGCAATTCAACAATTTCCTCGGTTAATATTAACAAAAGAGAAAATTAAGCAAATAATTATTCTCTATTTATTTTAGAGTTCTTCGTGAAATTGATGTTCTTAGACATGAAGCTACTTTACTACAAGAACAAATGCGTACAGTACGTGGTGATGTTCAAAAAGTGAATCAAGAGACAGCTGATGGAATGCGAAATTTAATTGAATTAGATTCAGTTAAAAATCGTATTCAGCTAGCATCGAAAGCATTACAAGAAGCCGATAATTGGGTAACATTATCAGCTCAAATCGATGATGTATTTGAATCAAAAGATACTGTACAAGTAAAATAATCAAAAAGAATATTTCACGAAAATAAATATTTTTCAAATTATCGAATTATTTAGATAGCTACAAAATTACTAGCTATGCAACAATCATTAAAAATTCTTACAGATGTACCTGATTATGCTGATCGTGTCAATCGTTTAGAAACATTAAAAAATCGTTTAGAAGCATTAATGAGTCCAACAGTTATTGCTGCTTTTAATACACAAGATATTGGTATGAATACAAAATTTTATATAAAAATTAATTTTCTTATGAAAAAATCTTCTATAGAAATGGCACGATCATTTGCACATTTATTTCAATCGATAGATCGAGCAGAACAATTAGAAGATCTATATGTAACATCCGTTAAAGTAATATTCATTTTATAATAATTAAACAACACAAACTTTTATGTATTTCTTTTAGACTCGTTTAGATGCACGTATTAGAGAACTTATTGATAGTACAAATAAAGAACATGAATTGATCTTTATTACAATTTATGATTATTTATCTAATCTTTGGCAAGATGAAGTAATTAAATAGATATAGATATGGTTTAAAAAACAAAATTCTTTTATTTAAGATACGTTGGTGTACAAAAATCTTTCAACACCCCAATCGTGTGACATTATCAATTGTATTAAATGGTCTAAAAATTTTTCATGTTAAATATAAAAATCAATTTCATACAGAAATTCATCGACAACAAATATCAGCGAAAAAACGACTCGAAATATTACTTGCATGTAAACGGGTAAGTTCAAAAGAGCAACTACGAAAAGCATTTCTAGATAGATTTTATTTTTTTGTTGAATGTTGTTTAAAAAAATGTAAAGAATTTTCATCTCGATCGCCAATAATCAGTGTATGATCACGTTTCATTGCTAAAGCACTTGGTCCTTGTAAATCTTTACAACACCAATAAGTAATTAATTCATGTTCTTCATTTTGATGAGGTTTTACTCGTCTTTCAACTAAACGTGATTCAGGATCAGAATAACAAACTGTTAACCAATTTCCTTCTTCGTCAAGTAATATACCATGTGGAACATGTAATGTAGTTTCAACATTGACATGATTTCGTGGTTCATGATCATATATTTTTTGTATATAACCCATTTTATCAAATAAATAAACAGCACCATGATAATTCGGTGCATCATCGCATGTAACAACACATTGATTATGTCCATTGATAGCAATAAAATTTGGTTTAACTTTATGTTGTATTTGTTGATATCGTGTTAAATACCAGCGACGATTAACATAACGAAAATCCGGTGAAAAAACACAAATTCGATGATTCCATGTATCACACATATAAATCTCTCTAGAAAAAACGAAAATAAAAATTTATTTCTTATGAGTATAAATAATTTACCCGTTCGATGGATCAACAGCAATTCCACTAGGTGAATTAAATCGATTATTAGCATGACCACTTTCTTCAGTACCTAATTTTTGTATAATCATTTTTTTTTCTAAATCATATAATGATAATGAATGTGCTTTTGTAACATAAATTTGTTGTGGATAATTTGGCCGTGGTGTAACACATTCAGGTGTTGCTAAATCACCACGAAATATTTGTAATAGATTTCCATTGGCATTCGAATCAAACATAAGTAAACGATTATTATAATGATCGCAAACTATAATTTCTTCAGCTTCTGTATTTAATACACATATACCATATGTATGTGCTATAGACATTGGTGTTGGTGATGCTCGACCAGATGATGCGTTTTCATAATGAAATTTTTTCAATGTATAATATGGTTTTGTTTCATAATTTGTTATTGATGGTAAAGAAGTAACGAATGATGATGATGATGATGATGAAATAAATTTTGAATGAACATCAGCATTTTTATTTTCGTTAGGTGTACCAACTGATAGTGTCTGGGTATCTGATGAATCAGGTAAATAACCTGGAACTATTGAAGGACGACGTTTAGTTAAGAGACTCTCCATCGTTATGTTCTTATTACTGATGAATAACAATATTCATATTCCAGTTATGATATTATTGTTCTTTCTCTTATATGTAGTTTCCTATTTGGTCGATTAGTTTGATAAATGGAATGTAGAAGGGAACTACTCGTATTATTAGAACCAAACTAAAGTCAAAATCTATCAACGTAATTCATCATGACAGGACAGCCTACGTCTAATGAATGTCATGACAGAATGAGATAGACAAGAAAAATATAACTGATATCATCATTGTAGAAAGACATATTCAAGTCATCTCTAATATATAGAGAAAGTATCAGACAAAACAAAAACAATTTAAAAATTTTCCTGGTTATATTTGTATTATTAAACTTTATAAATTGAAAGATTTATTTATTTGTTAAACATTTCCAATTCTATTTATCGTCAAAGGATATTATGAATAATTATTTTTACATAGAATAGAAACAATAAATCATTTCTTATTTTTAACAAATATACTTTTACTCTATTAACTATAAATATGCGCATATGTATAAATCATAAGTAATCAACACATCTGTCGAGGGTAATAAGTATGTTATGTCACAAACAAAATATGAGTGTAATAAAAAGAACATAAACTAATAACTTCTCGTGAAAAATATATTTGAGAATGACATTAATTAATTACTGGCACGATTTTCTATGTATTTCTATTTTTGGATACTACACATAGGAATGTTTAGTATTTTATAGTTCAAAATAAATTAAAAGGCAAAAAAAAACATAATTTATTATTTTAGGTTACTGATCGATTTGGTAAATCTATTCAAAATCAAATACAACCACTATATAGAAATGTATCATCACAACCAATGCTACCGACAAATGGTATATTTAATAAATTCGAAGTTTTTAGTCTTCTCACTCGAACATACATGTCTTTGTCCTTTTTAGAACATATTCCATCATCGACAATTGAAGTGTTTGTATTTGAATTGTATTCACCTTATACAGATGTTTTTCAAAATTATTCAACATACGAACAAGAACAACTCAAAGACGCTCTAGATACTGTTCAATTGGTATGTATTTTTTATTTACAAAAAAAATCTGATTTTCTCATATTTATCTAGGACACAAATGATACTTCAACTAGTATTCAATTACTTGCATCATCCATTTCGAATGTGTTTGCAATAGCAAATGAAGTAAATTAAATTCATATTTATCGATATCTATTATAAAATTCTTTTTAAAAATAGACTATTGAACGATGTAAACAATTAACTAATGGTCGAACAATTATTAGTCTTCTTGGTGTTCTTCAAGTAGGTTTATTAAAATTCGACTTTTCTAAAAGAAAACAATGTATTTTTAGACGTTTTTTATTGATTATATTGGAGAATTAAAACGAGTTGTTAATAATATTCGTGAAAGACATTCAAAAATCTTAGGTAATGAAGATTGGGAATTATTTCGACAAACAATTCGTATCTTAGAAATATGTGGTAAAAATTATAAACATTTTTTCTAACTAAAAGAAAATACAAAATCTTTCTTTCAATTCTAAATAAAGGTGAACTTATTCTTGCTTATGAACAATTTGAAACATCATTAGTACACCAAATGTCACAAATGATTAATGAATGGCATAATAAAACTAACAAGTAAATATATTTAGCCAAAAATTTCTATTCTTCTATTCATTTATTTTGTAGATATAAACAAAATGATGATATATTTGATTTATCAATTGAATCATTTATTAATAATATATCTTCAGCAGATAAACATGATTTCTTATCAATTGTAAATGCACTTGAAAGTAAAAAATAAGGTTTTATATATTTTTTCATATGTGTCTTTTTTTTAAAGATGCAACGTATAGTCTTTTTCCTGATATACCAAAGCAATTAAGTAAATTTAGTGATGAATGCCATCGATTTAGTTTTGATGTTGTCTTTTTACCAATTAATTCACTTCTAAATGGCTTTTCGAAATTACCTGTAAATTAAATGATTAATACTTTATTATTATTCGAATTCTTTCTTTTTTTATTTCAAAGATTTGGTCAAGTGAAAATCGAGGTACAATTGTAGCTGATTTACCTTCTTTTAGTCTTGTTCCACAAGAAAATATTACAAAAGTAAACTATTTTATATCATTTATATATAATTAGAATTTTTATTAATATGTAGATTGGACAATATCTTTTGATGCTTCCACAGCATTTTGAACCGTTCAATTTACATGATAATCAACAATTAAGAGTTGCATTTAAAAAAGGAAAATTACCTTATCTCGAAGATAAAGGTATAATTTTTAATATTTTAATCATAAGATAACTCCGGTTTACTATTCATAGAATTATCTAATGATTTAACATCATGTTGGCTTGATTCTGTTGCATTGGCTACAATGCGTGTGTGTATGGAACAGACATTACAAATCCAAACATTAAATTCAACAGGTCTTAAACAGTTAATTATGGATCTTCGTAAGTTGAAGATATACGATTCAAATAAAAACTCACTTGATTTATTTTAGAATATCTTTTTAGCGTGTTAGAAGATTTCGGTCTTAAAGATGTAAGTGATTTTCGTGATATGCTGGAATTATTAAATGCTGACGAAACAACATTTGAAGAACTTGCTAGAAAAAAATCAGCACGAATGGTTACAACAATTCGAACAATGCGACATTTGAATTGATTTTTCAATGTGATAATCTCATTTAAACTCACGCCATCTATGGCGTCGCCTTTTTTTTTTTGCTCTTGTTATTATTATTATGATACTTATTTAAATAAAAAAAACACGGAGGCATCGCGATAGAAAAAACGCAACTAATGAAGATTGAATTTCGTCAAAAGAAAAGTTTTTAGTTATAACATTATAATGGATCTGTTAGCTATTAATCAAAAATCTAAAGATGAGGGCGAAAATCAAGGACCATCATTAACATCAGAAAATCGTGAAGAAAGAATAAAAGCTCGACGTAATCGTGTTAAACAACGTATACAACAAAAGAAAAAGTGATTAGTGTTTTTTTTCATTAGATCGTTTTTGTTATTTTGAAAAATTTCTTGATTTATATATCATATAGTGAAGGAAGTGGTGGTGGATCATCAGCAGCAAATCTATATAAAGATGAAGGAAGTTTAGCTAAAGATCAAATTGAACAATCAAGACATCGATTAGTTAAACTTGAAGAAGATGGTCTAGAATTCGTATGAAATTCTTCTCATTGAATAATACGAGAATATTTTATATTTATATTAGGTAACAAATGTACGTGTTGGTCAAGATTTAATAGAACATCAACATCGATTGGAAGAAGAAGAAGCAACGCGAAAAAGAAAAGACCGTTTAGAACAAGATTCAAAATCATCAAAAGAAAAATTTGAAGAAGTATTTAATAAAAAGGAATAACTTTTTTTATATATCTATATATTTATATGATAGATTATTCGAAATTGGGAAGGTGCTCGAACAAAGGATATTTCAAGAGAATTACATGAAGTACAAAAATAAATAATTTGATTTGATTTATATGAAGAATTTTTTTTCATATTTAGGTACTCATGGCACAAAAACATGCTTGTGGTACAATGCTTGAAGAAAAAAATAAATTGATCGGAGAATTAGAAAAGGTTTGATGAATTAATTGAAACGAGGGAAGTTAGAATGAGTGATTAAAATCTACTTTTTTTTTCAGGATTTAAAAAATAAAGATGATCATTATGTAAAAATGTTACATAAATTCGATGAAAATGTTAAATTACTCGTTGAACGTATGAACGAACAAGTGAAAAGTCGTCGAATGTACTATGCACGTGAATTACATGCTATTGAAGAAGCTTTTGTAAAAGAACGTCAAGAATTATTAGATAAATATAATCGTGAATGGACAAGTAAATTAGAAGAACGACGTTCGAAAGAGGTAAAATATTTTTTTATATTTTATTTTTGAATAAATTTTGTCGTTCTAGGAAAGTTTTGTTTCAGCACGTTTTGAACGTCATGAATCATTTGAACGTGATTTACAACGTTTACGTATTAAACATGCTGAAGAATTTAATGCAACAAAAGTGCGATTAGAAAATCAAGTTCAAGAACAACAACGTAAAATCGAAGAAATGAAAGCTATCTATCAATTAAGTCAAGAAAAATATGAATATAATTATAAAGTATTAAAAAAACGTGATGAAGAAAATTTATTAACAATTAGTGTACAAAAAAATCGTAAAATTCGTTTAAATGATTTATTAACAAATCTGAAAAAGAAATTAGCAGAAAAAGAAAAAAGTTCGAAAAATCAAAATGTACAAGCTGCAGAAGAATATAAAAGAACACTAGCAAATACACAAGAAATTAAACGGAAAGCAAGGTAAGGTTATCATATTTTGATTAAAATCTTCTGAATATTATCTGTAATTCCCGACTCTGATAGTTCTTGTCTCGGAAATGTCTAATTAGTATTCTTTTTTGTTATTTAGACATTTCCTATCAGCTGATATGGAAAAATTTCATGAACTATGGATAATGAATGAAGAACGTTGCCGAGAAATGACACAGAAATTACTTGATGCTGATAGAATTATATTTGAACAACAACTTGGTCTTCCTTGGTCACCTACGGATCTTGAATTTATGAATAATGTTGGTCCAATTGATGCAACAAAAATTCCGAAACCATCAATTGATGTTGTTCGAGAAATTTTAACTGATCAACAAGATGAAAATTCAGCAAACAATTTAATATCTAATACAACAATGAAAGCTATACTTGAATTACTTTGTGATGAAGGAGTAAGTAAATCCTAGTCGAAGAAATAGTTCATTGACTGAATTTTTTCTTGAAGGATTTTCTTGTTGAACCAAAATTATTGGCATTACTTGATCCATTAGAAACCAATGAAAAAAGTTTAATTAAATTAGATGCTATCTTTCGAGCATTAAAAGTTGAAAATGAAGAAGATATTAAAGTAATGGCGAAATTTTTTGTTGATCATATTCAACAAAATAAAGATAAACAATCTAAAACATATGTCTCAAGTGGTGTTGGTCCTGAACAACATGAAACAGATGAAGTCACACAGGTTAAAAGCGTAACTAAAAGAAAAATAAATCATTACATAATGTATATTTTAGACTGGTGCTCATCAAATAACCGATGCCGATGGTAATTGTGTAGAATTAATTCATCCAAATCATGTACTCAAAGCATTAAAAGCTTTTCTTACAGATTATCGTGCTCAACAGAAGTATATTTATATTATATATTTTTTTAGGAAAAACTAAATTTTTAATATTATATTAGAGCTACATCACAAGTTCCATATCAAGTCGCAGCACTTGATGAACGAGATGATTCATTAGATATTGAATATTGGTCGAAATATCCAGATGTTATCGATGATCAACGTGAACGTTTATGGGATGCATTAACATCAGGACTTCAGAAATATTAGTAAAAACTTATTTCTTTTATTTCTTTATTTGATATAATAATATTAATTTAGTTCGACTTTAACTGCTCGTGTTAAACTAATTGATGATAATAATGCATTAGCAAGACAAAATGATGAATTACGTCTTCTTCTTTCGAAATATATGCAATCGAAAGTTAATCAAGAATTACAAATACCACCATCACAAATTATTCAATTACAACTTGCTGAACAAACAACAGGAAATAATCCAGATAACTTTTAAACTATACATAAAAGACGTTTATCTATCTTTCTTTCTTTTCCTGCATGCGCTATTTATTTTTCTTTTTTGTTGATGAAATAATTATCCAGAATTGAACAATTAAAATTCTTTAATATTTTTTTCATCGTTACAATCATGTGCGTCTCTTGATTAAGAATGTGAGTATGAGCATTATCCACACATAGTAATACTCACACTCTAACGAGTGTTTTTATTTGAATAAAGTAATATGAAATGCATTGAGGAAATTCAATCTCTATGATTTGTAAACAGATTTCGAAAATAATATTCATGATGTCAAGGTAACAATTATATTTATTTTAATTTTTAATGTATGTAAACTATTTATTCTCGGATAATGAATTTTTATGATAAAATCTACATTGTAATTGATGTTGAGTATGAATTTAATTAATTGGAGTGATGAATGGCGTCTTTTGCTAGAGACAATAAAACGACAAGATTTTGAACATGTTCTTGAAAAATCAAATCGGCAAGATTTACTTCTTACAGTGAAATGTGTTGCTATGACCTCAATTGGCACTACTTTTGGAGCACTTATTGGTGGACCACTTGGTGCTTTAGCAGGAGCAACTACAGCAACTATGATTAGTTATGGAGCTAATGTTAGATATAAATCTATATATGAACTTATTAAACAATTATCAATTGAAGAAAAATATCGTTTATTAACTAAAATCAAAGCAGTTCTTGGTGGAATTTTTAATGAACAAACTATTATATTAAGTGCAGTCGGTAAGAAAAATAATAATAATAATAATAAATAAAAATATAAATAGAATATATTTTAAAAATTTATAGTTGTAGCAAAAGAGATATATAGATTTTTCAGTGATATAAAAGGAACAACAAATGATATATTGTCATCATCAAATAATTCTATAATTATTGAAGAATTTAATGAATGAAAGATTTTATCTATGCATTTGTTGTTGTTGTCTCATCTTCATCAATCGATTCATAAGTTCGATTCCATGGTTGTTCTTCACCATTAAAGAAAATACAATAAAAAAGACAACCAAATGCACCAATACCAGCTGCAATATTAAATATATGACGCCAAGCTTCAATCGTTTGCTAAACGAACAATTTAACTATTACATATATATATACATTTGATCAAATAAAATATTTTTACATTTTTATTTGTAAGAGCACCTACAACCAAAGGTCCAATAAACCCTGGTATTGTTGCCACAGTATTTGTAAACCCCACTAATGTTCCTAATATGAAAAAAAATTGAAGAATAATAATATAAAAGAAAATCTTTAATATTTGCCAGCATGATTCGATGCAACATCAAGATGTGAAATTAATGCACCACATACGTGTATACCAAGAAAAGCAACAGCAAGAATACAACAAATAACAGCACCAATATGATTACATCCCATATAACCGATAGCAATTAAAAATGAACATGTACCTACAGTTCCTAGATACATAAAAGAGAAAAACAAAAATTATTTTGAACTTTTTGATGTATTCTTTTGTTTTACCAATAATTGTTTGTCCTTTTCGTAATACTGTAATTGATAGAAGCTTTCGTGCTCGAATACGATCTACTATAGTTCCAACTATGATGGTAACTAAAAATTGTGCAAAATAAGGAAGTGCAAATATAAGACCATTCTACAAAAACAAATAAAAAAATCTACATATTATAGAAAAAAAAGTTTGGTTTTTGCCTGATGTAAATTAAAGTTAAGTATAGTTGCAAAATAAGTAGGTAATGATGTTAATAAAGTATAATAAATATAATTATTACAAACATGCATTACAGCAATAGCATATACTGGTGGACATGTAAATATTTTAACCCATGGTGTTTTTATACGCTTAATAAAACGAAATGAAAAAAATACTAAGATATATTAGAATATACTCTTACTTTACGAGTAGTTGCTGTATTTTTTTGAATATAAAGAAGTTCTTTTTTTGATATACGTGGATGTTGATCTGGTGAATTAAAACCAAAAAAACACCAACCAACAAACCATAAACAAGATATAACACCTGATAATAAATAAACAGATATGTATTATGGTTAAAACTTATTTTCTTAATAAATTTTACCAAAAACATAAAATGCGGATGGCCATCCACCTAGAAAATTATCTTCAATCATATAACTAATTAATGGAGTACTCAAAATAATGCCAAAGTTTGCACCAGTTTGAGATGCAGGTGGAATGGTACTACGTTCTGATGCTGGTATCTTGAAAAAAACAATGAAATTATTTATAAAATTACTATTTTTCATATATGTTAGCAATCATCTATACCCACCCATTTTCCCCAAAGAGCAGCTGCAGATGGAAATCCTGGACTAGAAACAACACCAGTTATAAATCGTATTGCAAAAAGTAAACGATAATCAGTACGAGCTGCTAATGGTGTTAAAAGTGTTAATATACCAGCTATTAATATTCCTCCACCAAATATCCATTTAGCACCAACTTTCTCAGCCAAATTTCCTGTAAAATATATTCTTCATATATAATTGATCTTGAACTATTGTTTACCTCCTATTCTATAAAAAAAAACAATTAGTTTAGAAGAGGCAAAGCTGTATATTTATATATGTTCAATAATCCTCTTACATTTGCATTGCAAGATAACCGTAAAAAAATGCTCCAAGAATAGCACCTTCAACAGTTGGATTCCAATCAAATTCGTATTTCTATTTGAAATAGGAATTATATATATATATGACATACATATATCTATGTAAATACTTGTGGAGGTCCAGTAGAATTTTTAATCGGCGTTGGACATGATTGAGCTGATTGATTCAAAGCACTTTGTGGTGTTACCTAATAAAAACGCATTGGATACTATTTCCTCATATTATTCATATACTAACCATAGCGACAATCGCTACAGATAAATTAACTCGCATAGCATACAGACAAAAAAACCCAAAGAACGCCCATATAGCAACCACATAACGTGCAGGCGCATCTGAACACATGAATGTACCACCTGTTGGTGGCTCTACTCTGATTTCATCTAATAATGGTTCTGTATCTGATAATTCTTTTGTATGCGTTGCATTAATTCCAATTGTTGGCTCATCTATAGTATTTAATATCATACGTTCATGTTGTCGCTCAGATTCTGTTGTTAGTCCTAATAATTGATCATCATCATCATCGTCATCTTTAGTATCTGAATGAATACTTGAACGTCTTTCATTCATTGTACCTTAAGTTTTATATTCTAAATATCAAGGACAAGTGTTTGACGTGTTAAACAAGACATACTCACAGTAATTCTATCAAACACTCGAACAAATACAGATAAATATGCGTTAACAACATTTAACTAGACACCTTCTTATTTAGATTTTTATCTTGTTATCATTCTTTTATTTTACATTGATTAACAAACATATAGATAAAATATCCTTGAATAATGCAATCTTTATATTATAATATTTATTTATGGCATATGAAAAAAATATTAGAATTTCTTCAAATTGAATTTATGATACTTTTCAAACTATATAAAATCATATATTTTTTATTAAATATAAAATCGTAGGTTATTTTATGAATAATATCGTCAAAAATTCTTTAATTATGCAAAAAAATTTGAGTCTTTCCATGAAGAAATAAAATATGATTATTTCTTTTAATTTATTAGGTACATTTGTCAATAAATGGACTTTGATATTTGGAATTTATTAAAAAAAAATTTGAAACCATAAAAAGATGATGTGGTATATTTAGAATATTTATGAACACTTGAAAAATTTACAGTACTTATACAGTACAATGGCTTCTCCATGTATTTTTATTACAATTTATAATTCAATTGAAAAAGAAATAAAAATATAAGTGCAAAACGATAAAAAATATATTTCAAAAATATTTCCATGGTAAAATCTTTGATGTTGATTTTCATTGGTTAAAAACAACCATTTCTATATTCTCTAAGTTCTCTATCCAATAAAATTATATATGAAGTATTATTAATAAACAAAATTTTATCTATTCTATTTTTAAAAAAGAATAATTTTCAAAACTTATATATAGTGTCTTTGTACTAAATGCATACATGTGCTATAGATATATAAATTGCATCCTCTTTTACTGTTATTTATTCAGAGTAGATAGTTTACACACTTCCCTTCGTCTTCGTGGCACTTGTTTCTCTCCAATGACATGATAAAATATCTGTGTGGGAGACATTTTTTTACTAAAAATATCATCATTTTTTGAATTCTCAAGTAATTAATTATTTTTCTTTTTGTTTACAGATCACTAACGTGTACGTGTGTATGTTGTGTGAGTGAGAGTGTGCAAGTAAATAAAAATTTGAGAAATATATATATATATACATATATATATCAGAAAAAGGATATAATCATGATTGATTGGGTAACTATTTTACTTGCTTTGGTAATAATTGCCGCTTTGATTAGTGGTTTTGGTTTTGTGGCATGGAAAATGAATATGTCTGATCCATTAACACCAACTAATTTAACAGGAAAAAAAGATGATACAAATCAACTTTTTGATTCTGTAAATGACAAGAAGAAAAAGGATAAACATGGTAATGATTCTAAAAAGAAGAAGCGTAATGTTCAAAAAAAATCCAAACGTGATAATAAAGAAGAAGAAGATGAAGATGATGATGAGAATGAACAAACACATGTAGTTAAATTTAAGGAGCCAACGTTACAATTAGGTGAAGATACTGATGATGAAAGAGAAGAAAGTGAACAAGTAAATTTGAATTTATATGCATTTTTTTTTTATTATATTTGATTGTCTTATTTTAGGAAGCATCAACAGTACCACAAGTTGTCGGAACATCAAAAGCTCGTAGACGTAAAAATAAAGCACGTGCAACAACGCCACCACCTTCATCAGCACGTTCATCAGGTCAAATTGAAGGTATTCTTGCAAATAAAGATGAAAAAAGTCCAATTACAAATCGACCTCAACCAATGCCTCATCCGAAATTAGCAATTATGATACCTAAAGATGAGGTTGAATTGGCCAAAGAACATCAACAACATGCTAAATCTGCTGTTAAGTCATCGCAACCATTGAACAAACAAAATGTAGCTGCTGTTGCTCCTGCATCGGTCAAGAAACCAACACCATCATCAACAAATGCCAATCAAGGAGCTCAAAAGCAACAACAACAACAGGAACAACCATTTACTACAGTTGTTGGAAAAGGACATAAATCTGTACCACCGCCATCACAACAACAACAACAACAACAACCTAAAACGGTTAATACAACATCATCAACTTCAAGTGTTGTACCAACCCCTTCTGTTCAACAGCAAGCTCCACCAGTTCAACAACATGAACAATTAGCTCAACGTCAAGCTCCAGTTCAACAGCGTGAACAATTACCTCAACGTCAGGCTCCAGTTCAACAACGTGAACAATTAGCTCAACGACAAGCTCCAGGTCAACAACGTGAACAATTAGCTCAACGTCAACCACCTCGTCAACAAAAGGAAGCACCAGTTCAACTCAATGGATTTAAAACACCTTCAGTAGCTGTAAAACAATCAACTGTTGTTACTCCTACTGTTGCTTCAGCTTCACCAACGAAACTTGCAGATATTGTTAAGAGTAACTACATATTCATTCTCTTTATTTTCTATATTTATCTTCTATTCATGAAATTTTCTAGCTCTTCCAACATCACAGACTGTTGTTACTGAACTTATGTCAGCACTCGATGCATTTCCTTTATCAACAGATGAACTTGATATAATTATGCATAAAATTGCTAATAAACAGACCGTACTTAAACAAGACTGGAATAAAGTACATATATATATTAAATCATCAACTTTTAGCAAATATTTTTTATAAATTTTAGTTACAATTTGGTCATAAAGTTGATCCACAAGCACATATTGGTCAAGCTTTGGATGAATCAACTAGAGCATATGAGCAAGGTCGGTATTTTTTGTTTCTATAAGAATAAATGAAGAAAATAACTAAATTTTATGTTGTTTTAGATATGCAAAGTAATGCAATGAAACATATCAAGGAATTAACTGATGAACGTAGTAATGATAAACGTCGAATCAATGATTTAATAAAAGAAGGAAATGAAAAAGATACGAATATTCAATTACTTCGTACTCAATTAAATTCAGTACAACATCCTTCACAACAATTTCAAACATATGAAGTAGAATATAGAAGACTTAACGAAGAGAATTTACAATTAAAACAACGATTAGCTCAACAACAACAACATTTTCAACAACAACAGCAGCAACAGCAACAACAACAACAACAACAACAACAACAACAGCAATTTTCTTCATTAAATTTAATGAACAATAATTCTGATCCAGCAATGATACAGAATCGTGTTATAGCTGAGCAAATCAAAAAATTATCAATTGATAATGGAAAATACGAAAAACAACTTCAAGAGAAAGACTTAACAATTAAAGCAATACAAAAAGAAAAAGAAGATTTAATCCGGTATGATATAATATTTATAAAAAAAAATATCCACAGATTTTCGTAGAGCTTTACTTCTATTTGAATAGTGTATAAAAAATCTATTAAAACTATTTTTCATTTCTAAGCAATTGAAAAAATACAATAGATTTATAATTATACATCATGGTATATCTCCGTCAGACGTCGAGACTAATATTGCTTACGACAGTTATCAACGCTGAGATAAATATAGATCTATTATACTGTTTTGTTAATAGAATTAGATATTTTATATCGCAAATAAGTGGATAATCGCCATGTAATCTCTCTTTTTTCTAAATATAAAATAGCTATACAGTATTAATGAAATTAGAATACCCTGTCATCGACTTCGATAAGGTACAATTAAAAGTTTTAAGCATCGGATTTAGATAAACGGATATTCTAATATATATCTTACAGAATATAAAGAATTCTTGCCTAACTAACATGAATACATATGGAATAGCGCAATGTATGTCGACTGGAAATAAGAATGTTTCTCATTAATTTAATAAGATGAATTTTATTATTTAATCATCGTTTTGTTATTTTCGCCATTTGTTGTAACACGAAAATCGTTGTATTTACTATTTGTCATAAATATGTATATATATACTTTTAGTACAAATCAACAATTCGCTCAAAAAGCTCAAGAAGGCCAAAAACAATCTCAACACAATGGAGAAAAATTACTTAAAGAATTACAAGAAAGTCGAACATTACATATGAATCAAATAAATGAATACAAACGTCGTATTGAAGAATTAGAATTAAATAATGAACAATTAAGACAGAAAGAAATTGCTCATGTTGAACCACAAACTACATCATCATTAAATAATGAAGAACGTCAAAAACTTGAGCAGGAAATAAATAAATTAAATCAAGAAAATGAGCAATATAAAAAGAAATTCGATGAAATTCAAGTAAAATATCTTTAGTAATAAGTTCTATTGAGGAAATTATTTTGTTTTTTGTTATTTTAGAATCAATATCAATCAAAAGAAAATCAATTAAGACAAGAAATTGAACAACTTAAAAATAATTCTGAGCAACGTCAACATGAAGAGTAAAAATTTCAAAATAAAAAAAGAAACAATCTTTCATTCTCTTTTTCTTTAGGAATTTAAATAACGAATTACGAGATAAAAATGCTCAAATTGATGCATTAAAAGCAGAACTTGAAGAAGCCAAAGCAAAGAATGATGTAAATTATTTGTTTTATTTTCTCTCTCTCTCGTTTATATCAGAAGTCTAATCTAAATATGTATGCTAATCGCTGTTAGCGTCGATATATAATATCACCGACGCTACATGGAGATTAAGACGCCTCTTCTAGTCTAACTGGATTAGGACATCTGCCCGGATGGCGGAAGGTGTGGGTTCGAGTCCCACGAAGGGTACCTTTTTCTCCATTAGCACACATATTCCTTCATATATGATGCTAAGAATCGCTATGATGAAAAATTATCTTACTGCTGAAATTTCGTTGATATTATTCTAATTTTCTCACTGAGCGAATGCATATATATATACACCATCGTTTGATTTTTGTTTTATTTTTATCATAGAAAGTACGGATACGAAATTGGAAAGTGATGAACGAATTAATATCGGCCGAGGAAAAATTAGCTGCTATAACGCGATCGAATACAAAAAGTTCAATAGAATAAAAAAAGGGATCTTTTCAAAATCAAAATATTATATTTATAAGCAAAAGAACTAATCTTTATCGTTTTTGGGTTTTCTTTTTCTGTATCTATCGATATAGTGCAATAAAAATATTGTAGTTCTGCATTACCGATGGTTCTTTTTTACAATGGGTTGCTTATTTGTTTTGAATGAACACATTGCTTTTTCTTTTTCGAATGTTAACTAATAATTTATGCATGTCAGTTTGAGAATTTTTGTTTTCTATATCATTTATTTTAGTTAACAAATACACAATCGAATGAACGTCTTCAACAAGAACAAGAAAAACAAAAACAATTGCTTATTGAACTTCTTGAACAAGATGCCCGAAATCAATTACAGAATGATAATCAAGTAAATATAGATCATTTATTCAATTTATAAAAAAAAAGTCATTAGATCGAATATTCAGTGTTTTATCCAGTGGGTGGGTGGCGCCCACTCAAAAGACGAGATTTACACAAAGCATTGCTAGGCGATGCCACCCGGAAAAAGAAACCTGGATAGTACACTGTGAATATTTCAGAGTAGTTAACTTTTCAAGACAATTTTCTATAGATGAACGAATCGTTGAACCTGTAAATAACCTTTTTAATTAAAATAGCTAGCATCCTGTAGTCTTCACTATTCGACAGAAGGTCATAGGGCTCTAGCTATTTTTGTCTTTTATTAAAATTTCGATGGTAGTTCAAAGAATGTTTTTAACCAATTCAATTTAATTGTTTATAAAATACTTTTTTTTTTCGTTAAAAGGATTTCAATAAATGGCTTTCGTCTTATAAACAAATACTAACATCGAGTATTGAAACAAACAAGGTAAATACTACTCTAGTTTAGTGGTTTAAATAGTATTAAATCATTTGAACTCGAGTTCGAATCTAAATGATAGCATTCACAAATGAAAAAATATCTTTTCACGTTATGATGAACAGCCTTAATCCATTCTCTGATACGCATTTACTAATTTATTTCATCAATGCCTTGCCCGTGCCTACCTTACAAGCACATTGTATTTCCTTTCCGAGTATCAAGGTTCTCTTGCATACAGTATTTGAAAGTGAAATATAGTGTGTTTACTGGCCAGTCGCATTATGAGGCTCGTCATGAGTAAATTAGAAATGTAAAGATTCGAAAAAATGGCGTCTGAACAAATGAAAAAGATATTTTATTTTCTTCTTATTAATACCATTGCTTTGATATTATTTAGCGGGTTCAACAAGATGAAGCTGAAAAATATAAACGTGAAAATGATCAACTCCATAAAAATATGAATGATATCGTATGTTAAATTAGTTTTTATTTTCCTTTTCTATTATTATATACATATTCATATATGTTTATAGGAGAATCAATTAAAAGAAATCGAACAAACAGTACAAAGTAAAGAAGAAACGTTACTTGCTGATCTTAAAAACGTAATTAATTAATTAATTGATTAATAGAATAATTATTTAATTCAATATATTTTAATAGAAAGATGCTATACTTGAACAAATTCAAAATGAGAATGATCAATTAAGCGGTGAGCTAGGACGTCTTCGTATCGAAATTGATCGCTTACAAACAGCTCATAACACAGCAATTAATGATACTCATGCATTAAAACGTCAACTTGATGAACGAGTTCTTGTTAATGATAATAGTTCATCTTTTAATGGCGTAAGTAAAATCATCTATTGTAAACTAATTGCATGATTGATTAAATTGCACTGGTTAATAGAAAATCACTTCCTTGCTTATTCTTTACATCTTTGCACTAAACTTTATGCTTCTTATCTAACTCATAATTAATCTAGGACGAATCATTTGAATTTGTAAAACAGTCACCATCACTACCTTCGACTGAAGGAAATACTCGTGTCGAGCAATTGCACGAATTAATTCGATCAAGCAAAGAAGTTCTTGACAACCAAGACTCAATTGTTCAACAGCTTGATAGACATATAAACGAAATGCACCGCGGTGGAGCCGGAGAGGTACACTCCGAATGACCACTAAAGCACTATTTCTCTAGTTTCACTTAGCAAAAAAAAATAAGTAACATAACTTTGCATGATTTAAATACTTCTTATGTATATTTTTATAACAAATTCAATTTCAAAAAAATTACAAAACTAAAAGACTTTATACATTGAATTATTTTATGTAATCAATTATGTTTTATTTTTGTATATATATATTTAGACATCAACATCTAATGTCGATGAATCCACAATGTCTTCTTCGTCTTCTTCTTTTCCGTCTGCTCAACAAGAACAACAAACCGCATTGTGATCTTACGCAAAATAAACTTTCTTGTCGATTTACACATACTGTTAATTTCTAATACATTTATTATATTAGAACAAAAATAAAGCGCAAAAAAATGTTTTGCTTATTAGCTGTTTTTTTTTCTTTTTTTGGTGCTGTTTCTTTTTGTTTTTGTTTTTTTTTATAAATATGACTTTAGTTTATTTATATTATATTCTGTTCTTCTTTTTTGGTCGCTTTTTATTCTTTGTTTTCTTCTTGTTGTTATTTCAAGAGAAAAGAAGATGTCTTTATTAATGATTTCGAACTGATGATATTCAAACATGCATAATTATCTATTGAAAAAAGTTATTTTAATTAAGAAAAACAAATATCGTATTTAGAATTCTTCATGTTTTACTTTATAATATTTAATAAATGTTATTCATGTATCATTATAAAATATGAATACAAGTGTTCAATTATAAATTCATTTATGTACGTAATGAAATAAAATAAAATCAAGTTTTTGGTTAAATTTCTCTATATCATAATCGAACTAATAGAAAAAAAGAGTCGAGAGAAAATACAATGATATACTGAAAAAGGACACCCAATGATTGCTACAAATATATATGTAAGGAAACGTCATTCACATTTTATTAGGTTGAAATAATATGCAGTAGTTTTTTTAATCTTATAATGTAATTGAGCCTTCATCTTATGTTAGTAATTATAAGATCAAATCAGAGATGGGCACGTCAAGTCACTTTTGGACTTGACTTGAAATTAAGCCATAAACTCAAGTCAAGTGAAAAAGCATATATGAAGAGGTTTCAATATACTTTTTTTTTGTATTTTACTAGTCTTATTACAGAATCAGAGTGTAAAAGATAAATATAGTTAAAAATGAGAGTTTTGCTAAAAACTAACTCTAAGTAACCGGAAATTTGTATTCCAAAGTTTTATTCAATAGAAGGATCTTCTATAATAAGTTTTGACTTGAAACATGACTTGACTTGACTTGACTTGTGAAAACGTCTGACTTGCCCATCTCTGGATTAAATAATAGCTATAAAAAGAAGCCTTGTCGAATAAATTCATGATATGAATTACATTTTGGAAAGTTTCATATTTTAGTAAATTTAATGTTTAGTTGAATATCAACTAGAATTAAAATTTATTCATAGAATAGAAATATTATACACATTCTCAATTATCGTTATTTCGTTTGTAATTTTTTAATCATGTTAATTCGATTCATTTTTAGATTTTTTGTTTTTCCGTAATGGCTCATTCAACATCATTACCTTCATCTACTATTCGTCATATTTTAATAACTGGACAACCAGGTCTGTTTCTTTTTAATCGTTAGATAAGTTTTTATTTCAAAAGATAAAATTTTTTATAAATCTCGTTCCATTGGAATACTACCGGAATAATTCGCACTAGCCAATGGGCAACCATCACCAGTAGGTCCCCCTAAGCCCCACCATTGTGGAAAATGAATATGTTGATTTTCAAATAGAAAGAATATACAAAATCCGCATATGGCTACACCACAACTCATTGCAGCAGAGAATATATATGCATATTTTTGCCACCAAGTAGAAGCATGACGATATAATATAAAATTAAAAATAAATCCAACTAAAAACCATGATGGAAATGTGACTGTTGGTGCTGGTGGAAGATTCGTTGTAGATAATAAAAGTATTGGAAAATTAATTAATGATAACCATTTAGTATTTGGATATTTTCTCCATAAATACCAACTTACCATGGGTAATATAAAACCAATTGGAAATGCTAAAAGTATTGGAAAATATCTTGAACCAGGTTTGAATAATCCTAAGAAATAATAAAATCTTAGAATTAATATTTTACATAAAAACAAATAATCTTTATTTACCAGCAACACCAAATATGATCGATGCTGTATAAGTATTTTCTACGTGTAAACATCTCCATGAATGATTTTTCGGTGTACATATATTTGGTACATCATAAAGAAGATATATTCCGACTAGATAATGAACTATAGACGATATAATTGATGATAAAATAAATGCAGGAAATATAATACGAGGTGGAATCTGCAGCAAAATGAGAAATTAAATAAAAAAAGAGAATATCTTTAACTCTACCTTCATATAATGACCGATTTTTAAATTTGTTAAGTAAATTATAATTTGATTTAAACATGTATTCGTATATGTACGAAATGTAAGAAAACCAATTGGATTACCGGGTAAAAGGATAGCACATAAAAAATCACCAGCGATTGTAGTAGCTTAAATAAAATTTATCACATGAAGAAAAAGGAACAAAAATATTTTCTAATAATACAAACTCAATGTCATATTCGTTGTTGCTGTTATAATACCACTTGGTAAAGTAAAAATAAGAGTAAGAATAATTGAAACTAAAATTTTAATTTGATTAAAGTATTATAGTTTAAATAACAACATACAAAGTACGCCTTTCCATGGTAATGAGTCGGTAAAATAGCAGAAAATGAATGCAATGAATAATGTACCCAAAAACATTATATAATAACTAAGAAAAATTTAAAGTATAAAATATTATCTGCATATATTCTTACCACCAGTCGGAAATTTGTGGATAAGATGACATAAGTTTAGCATGAACGTCATTCTTTTTATCAGATATACTTGAACGAAATTGATCAACAATAGAATTACCTAGAGGTACATGTATAAAATTATAACGATCATAAGTTTTTTTAAAAGTTAACATTCCTTAAATGGATGTGTTTTGTAGAGATTCAAAACAAAATAAAAGCTTTGGCTAGATAAATAATATCCGTTTAAAATATTTTCTACTCAAGTTTTTTTCCATTTTACATTAGCATCTAATAACTTTCAAAAACCGCAACTATTGCACATATATAACCAAGGAGAAACAGCAGAGATTTCATGAGCGAAGTCTCGTGAAGTCCTTGAAGTCCGTTGTTTCTCCCTGGTGTCTTGGGAGTTTTTGCTAAGTTAATCTCTACACTTCAATAATGACGATTGATTTTTAATATTAAAAGATACTGAGATATTATTATTTTAATTTAAGTGAAAAAAATCAATCCGAATTTACCATGATACAGTATTGTATGTATAATCAAAGCCGACATGCCAGCAAACATAAAACAAAACGAAACAGCATATCCAGCAGACAAATAAGCTTCACCTATAGTAATTTAATTGTTATCTAATTGGAAAAAAAGAGAATTTGGAATTACCATATACTTTATTGACAGTAGCATTCAAATGTAAATCTTTATTCAATACATGTGCTGTATTATAATAATAACCATCACTATCGAAAACTCGATTTGAAATAATTGGTGCTTTTTGTGATTCCCATATATTAAAATAATAAATAATAGGTGTCCCAATCCAAATAGCAATTATAAATCCAACAAATATATTAATATGCGCCCTAAAATAAATTAAAAATCAAAAAAAGTATTTTAATAAACAATTCATTCAAAAATATAAATCTACCAAAATGGTACGAGAATAGGTGATTCTAAAAAAGCAACCCAAGCATTCCAGTCGAGTTCGATTGCACCAAAACCAAGTCCACTTGCACCAGTTACTTGTGAAAGAATAATATTATTTGGTACAATCATACAAACAAATGAAAAAGCTGATAAAAGTGGAAATATATAACCTGGTAACCAATACCAAAGAAATTGAAATAAAACAATTAACCAAAAAAATTTCGAACGAGACATTTTCCAACGAGTTTCTTCTTCAAGTGATTGACTTTCATCCATTAATGTACGAATTAATGAACAACTTACTAAAGTACTCGGCCACATCATAGCTGCTGGCCATACAAGATATCGTTTTAAAATTCCAGATATTGATATTGCAAGAAAATGCATTATTAATATAAATAATATGGAATTAATATGTGTAAGATTATAGTTATAATACAGACGTTGACCAAGTAATGCTTCCATAGCTTCATATGTACGTGATCCTGATGAAGCCATTATTACTATAAGTGTATGTTCTTTAATAGAAAATGGTCCTGGATTTATTGTTATATTACATATAGTTGTTGGTAATATAGCAGCCATTAATTTACCAAATAGATATGAAACTAATATGATTATTCCAGTATTAACATCTAATGGTGATGTACGAAGAGCAAAAAATTGAACTGTAAATGCCATAAGACATGTTAATAAAATACCAATAAATATTGAACGAAATGTTAAACATAATATTGATGGATCATCTGTATTTGATACATTATTAGCTACTTCGAGATATGGTGATTGTTCAGAAGTATCTGTTGATTTTTTATTATGTATTAATGATGATTTTATTTTTTCCTAAAAATACCATGCAAATACCGATGAGATATAGTTATACAAAAAATTAACTTACACTATCATCGTCGTCGATAAAACTTGGATTAAGATAAATTGATTCCCAGATTCCTAGACTTTCACCCTCAGCATCCATATTTTCGTATTCACTATGATTATTTGTCATTATTAGAATAAAAAATATAAATTAATGAGAAAAATAACGATACCTAGTCAGTACATATAATTCATACGTAGTGCATTTGCTCGCGCATATAGACGTTTATTTCTTCGTGTGCATCAAACCGTAACATAACGCTTACAAAAAAAGCGATAACATAGTGCTTGTAATAAATCGAAAAAAGATTATCGATACTAACATTCATTTACCTTTGACAATACTAAGCTAATTTGTTTCGAATAGTCAACAATAAGGTTATTTTCTCTACAATAGACAAATATATACATGATAATGTTTAGTGGATTACATTCTAGTTAGTAATAGAAGGTAAATATAGCATGATTGTTATATAATATTTTTCAAATATTGCTTGAACAATATATACAAGTGTTAAATTAAAAAGGATCTTTCGTACCTTCGATAGATTATGAAATTCATACAGAACAAAGAATTTTTAAAAGTCGTAAGAGTGCAGTTCCTTGTAAGAATTATTATCAAATAAAATAGTTTATACCAATAAATCTCTATTTCTTGTCTGATAATCTATATGGATTTCGATTTTTTTTTATTATTATTCAAATATAATTAAAATACGAATTTTTTTTACATAAAATGAATATTTTTTTAGGTGCTGGTAAAACAACATTAGTACGACGTATATGTGAAACATTGCTCCAACAATCACAATCAATACCATGCTATGGTTTTTATACAGAAGAAGTTAGAGGCGCTAGTGGCTCACGAATTGGTTTTAATGTTGTTACATTAGATGGACAATCACGTACTCCATTAGCACGTATAGAGTAAGAAAATTAGCTTAAAATCTTGTTAAGATTCGACTAGTGTTATATAATATATTATTAATAAGAAAAAGAAAACTTTGAAATCATTCTCGTTCAGAAGTTCATTCAGTAGTAGACATGTGTCTGCTGAACGTTTTTTCCGTTCACGACTTTAAAATTTTTTTAAATAATGAATGATTGGCTTCAAGTACTTGAGAAATTAGTAGTTTTTTTTAAACTTGAGAATATATTTTATGATATTTTTTACGCTTGCAGCATGGAAGGAGATGGAATGGCTAATGAGATTTAAGTGATGCGTGAATGTTTTTTTTCTTTCTCTATTGAGTGCATAGTATTTTTAGCCGTGATAAAGACTTAGGAACATATTAAATGACTGATAATGTTTCGACGATGCATGAGTATCTTGTTTTTCTCCATTGAATGTATATATTTATGTACGGTATATAAACACAACGCATGACTGATGATCTTTCATTAATAATTAAGTATTTTGGTTTTTATATAATTAATATAAATGTATGCTATATTTGTCTCTGTGATAATGATACTGATTGATTGAGAAAATTGAAACAGTCAGTGTTTATTTATTTTTTATAAACAAAAATATTTTATGAATTAAAATTATTGTTTTTCTTACAAATGGAGAAATAAATTTCCTGTTTATTACAGTTGTAAATCTTCAATTAATTCGCTTTAGTGAATATACAACATCATCATCATCATCATCATTACCACGTATTGGACAATATAATGTATTTGTTGATGAATTCGAACGTGCTACTTTACCATTATTAACAGTAAAATTTTATGATTAATTTCGAAGAGAAAATATTTCTTTTATTTTTTAATAGGACATTCAAACACCATGTATATGTCTAATAGATGAAATAGGCAAAATGGAATTATTCTCCAATAAATTCAAACAAATAATTCAAACATTAATTGAAAAACCTAATTTAATTTTAATTGCTACCATACCTATTAAACCTTTACCATTTGTTGATAGAATTCGTACAAGAAAAGATTGTCATTTAATTACAGTAAGTTTTAATGATAAAATAATTTCTTTTTATATCAAAATTGATTTAGGTTACACGTGAAAATCGTTTTGGTTCAACATTAAAAAATGAATTAATGATATCGATTGAAAACTTAGTAAAAAATATTTCATAGATTTTTTATTTATTGAAATAAAAATATAATCAAGCTTGTGTTATATACATAAATACGTTCATTTTTCTCTTCCGGCTATGTAAGACAAATAAAATTTTGTTATTTTAACTGAATAATGGAAATTTAAAATGTACTAAGAAATTCTTCATTCTATATCTAACGTGATTGAATATAATACAACCATAGTCTTACAGATTATTTTATGAGTAGAATGAATTGTTATAAAAATTTTCTACTTATTCTCCTTGATATCATCAGGAGTAAAATAATTTAATTCGTTAATAATGAATAATATAATAATAGCCATAGGTGTTTTAGTATATATATATATGAAAACTTTATTGATAATTGAATTATATTATGTCAATGCTCGAGTAAATCGTATTGGGATATTAATAATCGATAATTTCGTATAAAAGAAATAAGAAGAATATAATTTAATTGTTTGTATCTATGTAAAACTTAACCATTGATATGAAGATATTTGTCATAATGATTTTCCTATTATAAAGAAATATAAAATCTGGTTTATCTCATAATAATAGACAGAGATCATATAGACTTAGATTTATCCTTTGTATTATTTATCTGATTAAAGAATATAGAAATGTCCAGTTTGAATAGAGAGTTTTATATATGATTGTCGATAAAACTAATTTTTATGGTAGATTATAATGTAATATGTATAAACTCTGGCAAAAATAATATATAATCTTCTTCGTCTTCTCCTCCTCTTAGTAATATTATGGTTTCAAGAAAGAGTGTTAATGGGACATGTCCTGGTACTTATACTTGTGATATAAACATACCACTCATCTGGTTTTTAGGCTTTTGTCTTTGGTTTGTAATTTTCTCGTAACCTTCGACATGTATAGATATTTTCTCTTTCTTTTTTTT